CATTACCCTCAACAAAGAGGTATGACGGACTGTTCCAAGCACGACGTTCCATTGAGGGTCTCTGTTCCATAATACTTAAACTTCTTGGAATTTGGAAACTAGGACTACTCTCTGATTATTATAACGAACTAGCAGGATGGACCGTCGTGGATATGACAGTCTGTGATGGACTTGCGTAATCCCACACTAGGTCAGACTTCTCCATCTTCCTTCAGCAGCTTCTCTACGATGCCACCTACGGACCGTCACAAGCTCGCCGGACCGTCATAAGCTCCGTAGGTGGTATCTTCTGCATTTCTCGCTCAAAAACTTCCGCGTTCATCTTTGGATAGATTTCCTGCAAATAAGGAGAAACTTACATAAAAATCAATACAAAAAGGCTTTTGGACACACACTAAACTTAAGTAAAAAACATTAAAAATACCGTGAAACCACGGTACATCACTTAGCGGCAGGAATATTACCAGAGCGGCTTTCACGGAGACAAAAAAGTCTGATTAAAAGTTATGATCCACATTTCACAACACACATCCATCTCACAACACATAAAAAATACATACTCACGTTAAGATCAATTTTGGGAGTTCTACTTGCCCGAAATCAATTTCATAAAGTCGTACAGTTTTCTTAACATCTTAGCTATATAATCATATGGTGAAATTCACAATTATATCTCTCATGTGTTACCATATTTCCCTAGAGCTCACAAACTCCGATATCATTCAAATATGGACTAAGTTGGGAAATTTCAAGTTACTACTAAAAAGTTTTCGGCCCAAAATTTTTCCCTGTTGGATTTTCTATAACAACGGAAAAAGATTGTTACATAAAGGAAGTGGTATATTATTTTTTAAGGAGGTGATTTCATTGGATTTCACCATGATCGATGAAGACCGTTGCATTTATGTGAAAAAATCCAACAAAAATTTTGTTATTCTCTCTTTTTACGTTGATGATATTTTAGTAGATGGAAATAACTTATAGTATGTGAAAATTGTATATTCATGGCTTTCAAAATCATTTGATATGATATATTTGGGTAAAACAGACTAAATACTAGTGTTAAGATCCAAGTAGATTATTCTAAGAAATTTTTTAGTTTATCTCAAAAAGCTTATATAAATAAAATATTGGAACATTTATAAAATAATGGTTGCAAATTCATGGATATTCGTGTAGTAAGAGGTGAAACTATAAACCTTGAAATGTGTCCAAAGACTGAAAAAGAAAAGGAAGACATGTCTCGAGTTCCTTAATCAATTGTCCTTGGGCTTTGATGTATGCTATAATGTATACTCGCCCATAAATTTTTTATGCCTTAAGTCTGGTTAACTTGTATCAATCCACTACTAGATAATATCATTGAAAATGGTAAAAGATAATATTTTGATACTTGAAGGGGATTACGGATCATACATTGTGTTATAGTTGATCTGATTCGTGATAAGAGGTTATACATATGTTGATGGAATGGTGATCAAAATGTTATAAAAATAACATCCGGTTATGTTGTCTTACTAATTTGTGGTGCTATTTCATGGCAAAGTAAGAAGGGAAAAGTAAGAAGAAAACTTGTACAACTTTTTCAATCGTGGAATTTGAATTCGTGGTTTGTGCGTCTGCACTACAAGAGGTTGCTTGGCTAAAGAGATTCTTTGACCGATTGAGTATTGCAAGGACTTCTAAGGGTCCCATTATTATTCTACATTGTGATAGTCAAGAGTCTATCACATACATAAATGATCCTAAGTGTCAACACATTGACATAAAATATAACTTTCTCAAAGACGCAATGACAAGTGGGAAAACAACTTTACAATACACTCCTACACATGAAATATAGTTGATCCTTTTACGAAGGTCATCTCTAGAGACTTGTTTGAAAAAACATGTTAAGGCTCTATGTTTCTATATGATTTGATGATATTTCAGTATTCTAAAGTAACTTGATTGTTATAGTATTCTCTTATATATAATACCATTGATATAATATGCATGTGATATTTTGTAAGAAGTAATGTGTCAAACAAGTCGCGATATTGTGTCTCTCATAAGAGCAGTCGCCTCGTTTATCGAGAAACGTGAAGAGAGAAGTTTCACTGCCATATTATGAGTTGTTTTATGAGCCAGATAAGAGTATCTCTAAGAAAATGAAGTTGAAGATCATTGTAAAGAGATGCTCGGGGAAGAGATCTAGAGTTGTCTAGACCAATATCTGTATGATGTTTGAATGATAAAAGAATGAGACACATGTACTAATATAAGATTATAACATCGTACCACGTGTTTCATACAACGTGCGTTAAGCAATAAATGGGGTAATGAAGAATGGTTCCCTACTTCTTTATTGTGTGAGACCCCGAAAAGTTAATTTAATTGGGATACCCTTTGACCTATTATTGTTTCTAAAAGTTTTGATCATTTTTGTTACTTTAGCGTGTTACTAAAAGCCATGAGTGATTCAGCAATACAGTAAATGTCTAGAAAAATAGTTGATATGGAGCAAATATATTCAAGTAGAGAGAGAAGATGATTAAAATGATTAATCTAACTTTTATACAAATGACAACTATTACGCTCGAGTGCAATTGTCTACATAAAGTCAAACATGAACTCTAGTTTACCTCTTTAAGAGGATAAGAGAATAAATAAGCAATACAGAAGTAGTGAAAGAAGTCTGGATTATTGTGATTAATAGTGTCCTCATATTAGTAGTGAATTCTTTCCACATGTGATTGAATTCCTATATACAGCATGTAAAACCTAATAGGTAAGCTTTTAATGCTCACCGATCGCACGAATTGTTACTTGTATGAAAGTTTGAGTAATTCATGTCAAATTGACTTGAGTTTGTATGAAAGTTTGAGTAATTCATGTCGAATTGACTTGAGTCTTGTCCACCATATGCAAAGTGGGAGATATAAGTTTTTTGAGGGTCATGAGTTGCCCATATGGATCCGACCTGACGACATAAGTTTTTAAAGAAGAAGATAAGTATAATTGTGAAAAAGAGTGAGAACAGTTACATGATTTAAATGTATCATCTGCTCCCTTTAAAATAGTAATTCACTCTTAAAGAACAAAGAAAAGAAGAAACAAAAAGAAAAACAACAGACTATTTATTTTTTGAGAATGACTTCAAAAAAATCCCAAAGGATATTTAGTTTGTCTATTATACTATTTTTTTTTAGATTTAAAGTTTGACTTGGAACAAATTATTAAGTTCGTGAATTTCATTCTGCTATACCAATCAAACATACACAAATCTTGTACAGAGTATTGTTTAATTTTTACATTGGGTAAAGTTAAAATGTGCATGTAAACACTTATGTTTAAACCAAAATAATAAAAAATCCAAAAATCCAAAAATCGTAAATTCTAACTTATAAGTTTTAAGTCAAACCTGTTGGCTCTAAGCATCAATTAGGGAAAGCCAAAATAGAGATGAATTAGCAGCCATAATCCACATTTTGAGAAACTTTGCTACAGTTACCATAATTTGTGGTGAATAGGTTGCTTTAGAAGACCCCATAGCTTTAATTAGTTTCTTCTCAGGAGTGTTGAGCTTTAAAAGATGAAATTACAGGTTATGATGTTCCATTAGTTTCATGTCTAAGTTCTTGCTCTATAAATGTACATTTTGGAGAATGTTCTTCATTACTTCTCGTATTACTTTTGATTTCCGCAGCATGTACATAATTGGTGCTATTTTATTTTTATTAAGAAAAAATTATCTATTAAAGTGTAATTACAATTTGTTTGGCCCATCCATATATATATATGACCATGTTATGTTTGTTTTCATAATAATATATGAAAAATATGAGAATATAGCTAATCAGCATTTGGATGGAAAAGGTTATCCACTTTTCATAATCTCATAATAAAAAGGGAAAGAGTATATAGCTAATTAGCATTAGGACAAGTTATATATACTATTCCATATATAGTTGCTTTTGCTAGGGTTCACAAATTAATAACATATATTTAATTTATTTTTTAATAACAATACAGAGTAGAAGAAAAAGCTATCGAGTTTGTATGAACCCATGAATCTCGCCTAACTCCCCGCTGATCCACATGCATCACTATTTGCAGTAAATATTAATTTAATTAAACATAGACAGTTAATTGATAATATCCTTAAAGTCAAGAAATTATAGTATTGTTAAGCTATTGTACAATATGTATGTGCTGTTAAAATATGGATCTCAATTGTGGGGATGGTTTTAGAGGTAGCAACCAGGACAGTGGTTTTAAGCCTATGCAAAAGCAGATCTATGGGGGCGGATTTAATTTTTGCGACTTAAGATTAATCCGCTTCATCCATCCCGCTTTATTGTTATCGAGATTTAAATTTATTTTAAAAAAAAGTGGTTTGCAATATATACTTAATCAATATATTATGTATACATATTTCCCAAGTAATCCTTATTATACTTTTGTCGGACTACGGTGCGCGCCACTCCAACAATATATGTATGCATGTATGGCCCTCTTATTGTTGTAAATTTCAATAAACTCTTGATGCCCACCAACAAATAAAATACACATTTTGGTTAAATATATTTTTTTAATTTATAAATGGTAACATCTTTAACCGTAAGTGGAAGGAATAAGCAAACCTCTATATCAATAATAAAAAAACATGTGTTGATGATAAGGCATGTTGGTTATTAATATATATACATGTTTACTTATTCCAATTTAATGTTATCACATGGTATGTCTCCTTGTATTTACAGGATTACCCTAAAAATGCAAAAGTTCAACAAAGTAAGATATTTGGTTCATGTGCCTTGCTACTTTATCATTTATGGAACAAAGGTATCATCATTGAAATATTATTATTGTATTATAAGTGGCAGATTATTAAGCAACTCTTTTGTCTGTATACATATATATTAAGTTTGGTTATGAAGTCATCTCATACGTACTCACATAAACCACTTTTGAAATATAGGGTTTTATCAAAACAGGGTAAGTGGTTTTGTACCTAAACATATAGTATAATAATTTTGGCAATCCTTCTTCATTCAATAGTCTAAAAACAACCACATCTGGTGAAATACATAGATAACCATACTTCAAATTAAAATTATGACAAGAGGAAAAATTGTGATTGGAAGAATTGAGAATCCAGCAAGTAGGCAGGTGACATTTTCGAAACGTAAAAGTGGGTTAGTTAAGAAAGCGAAGGAACTAACAATCCTTTGTGAGGCTGAAGTTGGACTCGCAATCTTTTCTAATACTGGACGGCTCTATGAATATTCAAGTTCCAGGTTCTTTATCTTCTTTTATTTCATTGTAAAAACAAAAATATTCATTCAATATATTACACTTTATTTTAATGTTAGTCGTTTACGCAAGCTATACATCTATCAATCAGGCATATCTATCATGGTAAAGTGACAGAAATTAAGATGTGGAGTAATCAATAGTGCACCTATGACGAAAAATAGGAGTGCCTTTGCCGCTGCTCTAGGCCAAAGATACCATCCGCGAGACCAAAGTTCAAATCCAACTAAAATTTTATCTTAAGTTAGATTAATCCACCTAAAGTCTTCAGATCGTAGTTTTCCCTATCTCATCATGTTTATCGTATTCATCATTATTTTCTTTAATTTTTTTCTTGTGAAATATTTTGTCATCTTATTTGTAATGGGTGGATTAGGATATGAGTATTGTATCATTTGCTACCTCTCTAACCAATATTTTTGGTGAATATTCAAAAACTGCTTCAAGTTATGTATACTCCTTAGATCGATTCACTTCTAATTATTGTATTAATAATCTAGTATTTGATTTTACTTGTCTATTTTAGCATTCATTTTTCCTATTTTAGCTTTAGCATTAATAAACTACTTATTTCAAATTATTTTTCAAGCCCGTTAACAATTATAGGTTATTCAATATAAATATGATGATTAAAAAATTTAGCTGCTGAGAGAGTAGTTTACTAGGTGGGAATCTCCACCAAATAAAAGTGGATTCAATTCATATAACTAAATTTTCATCTTTTGTATAATCACAACAAAAATTGTTCAAATAATTGTCCTTAAAATCCCCCATTGCCCTTCGTTGGGTAAGTGAACTCTTGCGCAACACTTTTATGAAATTGAGAGCCTAATGCTTTAAATATTTTATCATTACCAGACTTTGGGTGTTGGTCCACTGGCTGACAATGAGACTAGTCCAGATGAACTCTTATGGAACAATGTCCTATTACCATTACAGACTTCTGATGACTAGCCCATTGTTGGCAGACCTGGACTTGTTAGAATAGACCTCCCAAATCTTCTAACGAACCCTATCACGATTAGGAATGTGAAATCTCTCCTTCAAAAGGAGACCAGGAAAGAAAGAGCTATGTTATTGACAAGATCCTTTTTTCTCATTTTGTTTGAAACAGACCAAATACAGAATGAAATGCATAAAGAAAATAGGAGAAGGAAATCAGAAGACTCCCTTTTTTTTGTTTAGGGTTGCTCGCCCTAACATAACTCGAATGGAGGCTGACCGTTGAACCCACTCTGACCTTGTGGGGCGGCCCCTGTTATTGCAAGCTAGAGTTGCAAAGCTTGTAAAACAACAATATGGTAATATTTAATCCAACTTCTAATAACTCTGAACTTCAAACTAAATTAGATTATAGTTCCTACAATCTTATGAACTAAATTCTAATTTCTTATCTCCAACACAAAACCCCAAGATTTGTATTCTCCGAGACTTCAAGTTACCGCAACTCGAAAACTAGCCTAAGCTATGGAATAAAAAAGACAATAACTCAAAAACCAACAAACAAAACTACCTAACTAGAAAAATCAATCATATGGAACAAGTTCTTTAATTTTGTTTCTTTGTTTCCGAAGCACCTTGAAATCTCCAATCACAACTCTCTGTAATCTATGAACTCTGTCTTACTTAATTGTGTCATGATTGAGTGTGTGTTTGGTAGGAAGGACATGTTTTCTTGTTTTCATGGAGAACATGTAGATTTTTTACTAATCTTCTCATATTTAGTTCGAAAAAGATATTTAGTGTTTCATTTATGAATTAAAAATATTTTTGAGAAATATCTTTTATTTTTATTGAATAGAAAATAATTTTTAAAATTGAAAATATTTTTTTTAAAAAAACTTATTTTTTTTTGGTGAGGGTGAGGTTAGGGGAGGAGGTCGAGGGTAGGAGTAAAAAAATAAAAATAAAAATTGAAAATATTATTTAAAAATAAATTAAATTTTTTTAAGGGTTGAGATAGAAGGTAGGGGGTGGGTGAGGAGGGGAGAGGCCTCAAGGGAAGGGGCCAAAAATATGAAATTGTGAAGTTGAAAATAATTTTTAAAAATAAATTTAATATTTTTTTTTTGGGGGGGGGGGGGTGGAGGCTAGTTGGGGAAGGGGGGAGGGAGGTCGAGGATAGGAGTGAAAAAATGAAATTTTGAAGTTGAAAATATTTTTTAAAAATAAATTTAAATTTTTTTGATGGGAGGGAGGGCTGGGGGAAGCTGGGGGGAGGGGGTGGACTGCGGGGGTAAAAAAAAGAAGAAAATTGGAATAAGAAACATTTTTTAGAAATAACTTTCTAATTTTTTTTTGTTTTGGGCAGGGGGGGGGAGGGGGGAGGGTGGTGTAAAAAAATTGAAGCTAAACATTGTTTAAAACAAACTTTGATTTATTTTGATTGGGGGTGGGGGTGGGAGGGGGAGTTAATTTGAAATTGGAAGAGAGTTTTGAAAAATATTTTCCTTAAGTTTTAAAGGAAAGTGTTTTCCTTAAATATGAGAAAAATGAATTGATTTGAAAAAAATTTCCAAAACATTTAACTCAAATAAACATGAGAAAATCGAAAATACATTCCATCATGCCAAACACACCATCTATCTCTCTATTTAAGAGCACAAACTTCTCCGTAGAAAACCCTACCCTTGTACTAAACCTCTCCTTCTTTTTGTCGAAGTGGGTGACCTTTTACTCCTTCCCTTCCCTTGTAGGTTTGAGTTTCCTTTTATGCTTCATCCACTGCCTTATCCTTCTATCGCCATAACTTTCTTTTGCCAGATCAAGACTTCTTCTCCTAATCCCACTAGGACTCTGTTTGATTAGGAACATGTTGGATGAACCTCTTCTTTTCATGTATTCCCTCATTTATGGAACATCAACCATCAAAATCATTCTCAATCCAACACAACTTTTCTACCTTAACCTGTTCGACATAAACCATAAGTCTGAAGATATTGATATCCTTGCATGTGAAGCATGGTTGCAACACATTCCTTAGATACACGTCCTTCCACTCTTGATACAAAATGCTTCATCCTTTCCCTCGTGTTCTACACCACTTCAATAGCATATTGAGATAGCTGAATGAACTTGAAGGTATATTCTTTAACACTAGTTTCTTCCTGTTTGATACTCACGAGCTCCTTATCCTTAGCTTCACTAAACTACATTGGCAAGAATGGATCAAGTAAAGCATCCATAAAACTATTTCATTCAATAGAGGTTGCTTCTTCCCCACAAATAAAATCTCATTGTTCATTTCAAGTGTTTGATAGTTTGAAAGTTAAAACCCCTATGTTTCGTTGGTATGCATCACCCTTAGTATTTTCTTCACCTCATCAATGATGCTTAGATGGTCTTCCTCAACCTTTGACCTGGAGGATTCATGTAGAGAAACTCACGACTGAATCCTCCAAGTACCAACTGAATCATGCAAATTACCATTTCTGGAAAACTATGTCGTAACACCGAGACTATGCTACAACAACCTAAGAGAGTATTTTAATAGCTCCGCTGAATTCAACATCTACAGTAGTCAGCGGCTAAGCGCTAATTAGTGATTGAGGTGTCTATGTACTAATGTTCTAGCCAGAAAGAGGACCTTTGCTCCTGATCAAGACTCCCTGATCAGGTGGGGGCATAATATAGAATTTAATTGAGTGCAAATCTACCACTTATCAATTGACTATCGGATGATAATTTAGGAAGTAAACTATCATCAGTCTAATAGCCAAGATGTTAGAAATGATTAATCTTATTAAAGAAATTAGATAAACTTATAGGTCAAAATTGTACAAAGTTAGAGGGTTCTCTTCTCTATCTATGTGCTTGAGAACTCCAAAATTAGGATTTTTCTCTTTTTCAATGAACAGGTTATGAAAATAACGCATTGCTGCTTCTTTTCTGTTTAATAGATCTGAAGGAGCATTTTGTGCAATAAAATCTCCCTCTTTATTCCATTCTATGTTGGATTTCTGTCGAAGCATATTGTCCTGAATTTTAATCCATCTTATGTACTCGGTGAACCTTGTATTTCTTTTAATTTGTTCAGTATCATCCATGACCTTATTGAATTCCAAGTTGATGATGAGGTCCTCATATTTCTTCCCATTCTCATGACGAATTTTTTGTATTGAAGATTTTTCATGTGAGAACAACTCCACCAATATAAGTTTATAGTATTTAGCAAGCTTTTCCTCTCCTTGGTAAAAGGGTCTAAACTTTAATAAAGTCTTTGAAACTATGTGTAAACTTTATTGTATAATCTTGATATTCTTGTTAATGTCTCCACAAGATATAATTTTCTTAATTTCCTCACCAAATATCATAAGTTTTTGCATTTAATCTATCTTGGCATTGTGTATTCAAGAAAATCAAAAATACGGTAAGAGTTATACATGTTCATTTGACTAATAATGTTTTAGCTTTTTCTTTTTAGCATGGAATCAATATTTCAAAGATATGATGAAGAAAAGGAACACTATCGCTTGTTGACACCCACAATAGAAGCCAAGGTAATTTTCTTTCAATGTTACTTTGTTCATTACACAGATCTAGACAGGATTTGACTAAAAAGGGCCATGTAGATAGTAACTTTGGGTCGAAAAAAAAAGTTAAGATTGAAAATTTTGCAATAATCATAGTAATTTTACAACTTACAATCTCAATGGAATCCTTATTTCTTCTTTTCCAAATATAAATTCAGATTATTATTATGCATAACCTATTAATTTATTTAATTTAACTTCCACCTAAGTGTGTAATAGAATGCCTAACGCGTTCCAACAAAGCAGTAAGAACATTAAGTAAAAACACAGTATTTTACGTGAAAAACACCTGACTCAAAAGGTGTAAAAAACCGCGACATGTACACCTACAAAATTTAACTCCAACTTTACTAAATCACTGAACCTCCACAAAAAATAGCTTACAAACTTTTCAACCTACAGATCTAACCCTAATTCCTTAACTTCAAATTATGGATTTAAATTATAACTTTTGCAATCCTATGAACTAATTCTAATTCTTGACATTAAAGTTATGAATTCAGATTACAACTCTTGTAATCCTAAGAACTAACACTAAATCCTAACCTTCAAAACAAATATCCAAGGTATGTGTTCCAAATTCTTGGAGTTATCATAGCCTAAAGACAACACTTCTAATTCAGTTTATAACTCACTAAACTAAGATTAAATCAAGACTCAATCGAAGAAAAACTTTTAACACATAAGCTCTCGAAAAGTACCAGGTTCTTTGAGGTTTTTCTTCAGTTCGTTGATAGCACTTACGATGTCTATTATTTAATTGCTCTTTTTTCTATATAAGTGCAGTCGTATGTTAGACGACTTCAGCTTAGACAACTTCAGCTCTATTTAAGCACAATTCTTCATAGAGCTATTGTTCATTTCAAACTCTTTATTGACTTGAACTCTCTTGACATAGAGTTCTACTTCAAATATGATTCTATCTTCAATTCATACTCCTTACTTCGTTACACTCCTTCAATTCAATTCAAACTCCTAACTCTGTTACACTTCTTCTTCAATTTAAACTCCTTACTTTGTTAGGTTCCTTCTTCAAATCATATTCATTGATTCTGACAAATTGTAGTCGAACTAAAACTCTTCAATTCAGCAGTAACTTGAAGAGTTCTACTTCAAGTTAGATTCCTTTTTCAAGTAAAACACCTTACCTCTTTAGATTCCTTGTTCAAATCAAACGCATAGATTCTTTTTCTTAAATTCTTCACTAGTCTGATTCCTTACAAGAAAATATTATTTATTTTTTTATTTCTATATTCTTGTATTTATTTATTTTGAAAGATTTCAAGAATTCATCTGTTTATGACAGTGTACCTTCGAACCATGTTGACTGACGTATTTCATCTTTCTTTGTCAATCATCAAAATTGCTTAAATCCCAGTTTAAAAGATTTTTATCCTGATATTATATTTTGATGAACTTGATCTTGACTTATACTAGAATTCATGGGATTGAAGCTTGATCCTTAATTGATGGTCTTTATCTTGACTTACGATTGAGTTCAAGGGTGTTTGATCTTTATATGATTCTTCGTCTTGATCTCTAAAACTTGTAGAGAAATGCTTGAGTGCATGAATGTTTGTAGTTTGTAGTGAAATTATGGTATTTGATCCACGAGCTTTCTTTGGCTTATTGTTAGTATTTTAAAGTCTTTTCTAGATTATAAAGACTTATTTTTATAGTTGTGAAATAAAAGAGCTGTGATGAACATAAATTATTTTCGACCAATCAGATTGAAGTTGACATGGTCATGTTTGATTGGTCAGAACATGTCACTTGTTCATATGGTGTATATCCATTGACCTTTAATTTGATTAGGCAATATGCTATGGCATTTTGATCTACGACATGATCCTATTGGCTCATTCAATTTACTTGACATGCCACACCATTTGACACGTGACATCAAACTAGACCTCTATGATAAGATGACTTTAATAGGCTAGATAAATGAAATTGGATTTTGATTAAATTATATTGTTTATACTTGAATAATTTATTTAATTGTATTAGTTCATTTATCTAGAGTAATATATTTTAAATTTAATGATATTTATTTTCTACAATTTTGAATACAATTAAATTTCATTATCCACATGTCCAATAAGAGATTTGTGGTTACATCTTATGTACTTTATAGATGTTGCTAAGGTTGTAAAAAATAACCGAAACATCGGTAACCTGTCCACTCCTATAATTTTAAGAATTGGGCTCAAGAAAATTTTGATAGAGTTCAATCTCAACTCATTCAAGTCCAATCCATTTTAAGAGAATTCACAATTGAATCCAATTTAATCTCCAATGTCAATCCGTTTTAAAACTCTTTACTAAGATATGTTCTTATATTAAAGATATGAATATTATCCATCTAACTTATTTTAGGATTTATATATTTATTTGTTACTTTTTAAAAAATAATCAATTTTAAAAAAAAAATTATAACAGATTAAAAAAATGCTTCACTCAATAATACTGTTAATAGCTATTTTTTCTTAATTTGTAGTTCTGGCGAACGGAGGTAGAAAGGCTGAGACAACAATTGGATGATCTTCACGAAAATTACTGGTAATTTCACAAATTACATTTGCCAAGAGCATCCATAATCCCCTTCAGTTAAATAAGTTATGTTTAGTGAAGTTATTCTAATATATATGCACATTATGTCAAAATATTTAGTGGAATTCTTATAAGTGAAAGTAGTAATTATAACATGACATTCTAACTATTTTACCATGCATATAGATAATTCTATTCAACTTTGGTTGTGGTCACAAATATTAAGAACATCTAAAACTAGGTGACGAATTTTTATATGAAAGATCATATCTTAGTGATGAAAAGGACGTACTCTACATTAACAATCATTATGTTCTCGCCCAAGTAGACACTTTATCGAGTTACACATGACATAATACACATAGGATGAAAATTATTATATAGGATGTCACATAGGACGTGTGTCTATTTGTTCAACTTTATTCAAATTTTAAATACTTGTGCACATTCAAAGTTGGAGGGTGTAAATATGAGCTAAAATCAAATTAAAAGGCATATTTAAGACAAAAAGTCAACTAACAGTGAAATAAAAAATAGTTATTATGTTGATTGTGTTTGATTATGAGCAAAGACCTAGGAAAGGAGAGACTCAAGCATATTAGTTGCCTAAAGCAAAAATTAAAAGGGGCTTTAAATTTGAATTGTTAATAACTTTTATACAATTGATTTCATCTAGTTTTCAATTGATAATATAATCATTCCTATTTTAAATTATTTTTCATCAGATATAGTACTCCAAATATGTCAAATTTCTTCTAAGAATTGCTTCATTTTCATGAAAAGTTTACCTTTTCTACAAATAGTACTCAATATTAGTTAAAAAATAATGACTTATAACCTATTATTATTAAAAATGAGGCTCCTTAAATTTGGAGGCCTAAGACACATGTCTTTTTTTAACACTGCCGAGCCTCTCCTGACCCAGGAAAAGAAGAAATTAGGCGGTGATGATTAGAGGTACAAAATGCGTACAAGTAGCAATATTAAAATGAAAAATATTGCAGGAGATTGAAGAGGGGAGAACTTTCTGGCATGAAAATAAGTGATCTTGATAATCTAGAGAATGAAATGGAGATGAGCTTGAAGAATATCCGCATTAAAAAGGTGAGTATATCACTATTGTATGCCATGACATATTATTTAACAACATAATATATAAATGGGCCCTTTAACTTGGATTCAAATCACATTTATGTTTTTCAACTTTGGATTTGCTCACTTATAGTTGTATAAAGTTGAACAAATAAACACACATGTCCTACATATCATTTTTTTGTCCTACGTGTATTTTGTCACATAGGACTCATGCGTCTACTTATTCAACTTTATACATGTTTAAGTGTCTACTTGTGCATTTCCAAAGTTGGTAGACACTTAAATTTGTATAAAATTGAACATATGTCCTACATATCATTTTTGTTGTCCTACGTGCATTGTGCCACGTAGGACTCATGTGTCTACTTGTTTAGCTTTATACAAGTTTAAGTGTCTACTTGTGCATATCCAAAGTTGAAGGGCATAAATGTAAAATGAGATCAAGTTAAATGACATATTTAGATATTACAAGGAAGACATCAAGATTCAATAATTAACATGGAGTCACACTTGTGCAGGAAAAGATGTTAACTGATGAGATAGAAGAATTAAATCAAAAGGTTCGTAATCGATATTAGTACTCTAGTGACTCCAATATAAAAAAAAAATTGATATATACTAAGTACTCATATATGCAATATTTTGCAGAGTGCACTTATTGGTCATGAAAATGTGGAAATGTCTAACAAGCTTACTCTCATCCACCAACAGAATACACTACTTCATAACAAGGTACTATCTTACTACAAAACAAAGATGCCTTTTTTACTTATTCATATTAGGATTGTGTGAAAGAACAAAATAATTGTTTTTTTCTTCTCAGGTTAATGGAGAAACTGAGAGCATAAAATTAGAAGAAGGATGTTGCAGTGTACATACTTTAGAAAAGGAATCATGTGTTCCATTACAACTAAAGGTCAATAGAGCAGTACAAGAATGTGAAATTAGTTTGGGGTAATACTCTTTGAAACTCTACAAATTCGATATGCATATATAACTCAGAGAATATTTAAATGTGTTGGTTGAAATTCACGATCAGGTTATAACTGCAGCAGCCCATTCAAGGATGCCATGTTAAAGTCTTGCATAAAGCATGACAAAAGTTAATGCCTCAAATTGCATATTTAAATTATGTTGTGTTTATATCACTTGTTGAAATATGTGAATCTTATCCTGGGAAAGAAAAGAGTTCATGATTTGTATGATATATGAATTTAACTAAATCATGTATTTAGGATATTAATGTAAGAATTGTATGTTTGAATACATGTAATTAAATTAAGTGAGAATGAATTGAATTAAATGATGATACCATTTTGAAATGATATACATGCTAGAAAAGTCATGTAAATATATGGATATTATAGATATTTAAGTCATGTAAATATATGGATATTATAACCTAGAAAGGAATGATGAAATGATGTTTGAGAAGGTTTCATTTTACGAAACTCAAGAAAAGACAAAGATGATTATGGTTGTAAAGATGAGAAAGCATATTGTCAAATCTTACAACACTAGCTTTGATGAAATTTTAAAGAAGTTATTCTTCAAAAAAGAAAATGCTATCTATTGTTGTAGAACGTAAAATTTATTTTACAATGACTATAATGATTGAGAAAATGGTAAACAAGGACTCCTCGTGTTATTGAAAAATCTTCAATAGAGGAGAACATTAGTGAAGATGAATGTTTAATGGAACTAATGAAGTGTAGTCTAAAGCACAATTTGGAAAATGACAACTACAATCTCAATAAGAAAACATATCCTAAATAAACGAAGAGCAAATCAAATGAGAATATAAGGTACTTTCTTAAAAAGAATTAAAAAAAAAAATCCAAACTCTAGAGAAGAATGTTGTTATGCTATTTTTTAAGTGATCGGGAACAAAAAAGATAGAGAAATGAAGAATATTTTGTGGATTTCAACTACAATGTTCAATCGGAGTATTGGAATGTGAACCTTGTCTTGAAAGAAAAATAAAACATTAAATTGTTAGATACAAGAATTTAGTTAACTTGTGAATTTAAGATAATAATAATAAGATAAGGAGACTTGTATACAACTACATGTATTTGAGAAAAATGAAGATGAATATATTCAAGGAAACAACACATAAAATAGCGCGAAAGATGAAAGTAATAACGTGAATCACCCCATCCCAAAGTAATTTATGAAAGTATCCCATTGTTATGATTCAAGAATGAAGTAGTGAATTGTGTGTTTGAGGTGTTGTACCTAGTCATAATGTTGGTTAGACTTTCATTTTAGAAAAACATTTTCATATTGTTCAGCTTAACTCAATAAGTTTTAAGGTCAATTTCTATTATTTTTCAAGTTGCCCAATATGTTTGAGGATTGAACAATTTAGGTCCAATGATTACAATTAATTTTTGTACGGTCTCCAAGGCATGTCTTAGATATTTACGCATTGTAAATATACTTGTTGAAGTTTATACATAGAATTGTTTAGGTAAATAGAAAATAGCTTGTCGCTTACTCCTTTCCTTTTCATGTTCTTTTGTTTTCGTAGCTTCATTGTTGTTTTATTTCTATCTTATTGATTTTTCATTGATTTCTTAAAGCTTAATCACATATTGGTATCAGAACACACTCTTAAACTATATGGGTAGACTAATGGTTAAAAGAAGAGAAATTAAATAATTTTTGAAAGAATGACCATGAAGTTAGCTCAATTCTCAGCGAAGTAGAATTAAATAGAAGACCAACATGAAAAAAATCAATTGTTGAACTTAAGAAATCCTTAGGGGCTGTGAAAAAAGAAGGATGAAGTAGCTTTTACTATGGAAAATAAGGGAAGTAGTGAGGTATATACTCCATGGGGCAAACCCATGGATTGGATTTTTGCTTCAAACATGAGGAACAGTTGCTATGGTTAAATCTAGTGGATATCAATTTGGAAGGGGCTCTTTACCCTACTTTCAAATACCATTAGGAGGACACATAAATCAAAATATTAGTATTATATTGGGGGTAGGATTTGTCGGGCATATAGGGTCAGGAACTCAGCCACATACCAGAGGCCTTTTGGAGCATCAACTCAGATGCCTTATGCAGGGTTTCATGGCCAGATACCAACAGGAGGTCCTGCAGGAGGAGCAACTAACCTAACTTTTGAGGTCACTTCACTTACCCTATATCTCATCTATCCAATATAGATTTTTGAAGGATCAATGAAACATATCTAAGGTCTTGGGTCTACAAAGGTTGATCTGCCTTTTTCCTTATGAGACACCTCTAATTGAGAAGGTAAGAGTTGTTTCACTGTGTTTTGATGATTTAGAAATAAAATTGCACCTAGCTTACATCAACAGTAGGAAAAACCTACCATATTTTACTTACAATGAGTATATGTATGCTCTCATAGACAAATTCGTAGTTGTGTTTAAGCATTTTATGTTTGAACTTAAATTGGGTAAGTAGAATGGATCTATCAACGATTATTAAACTGAGTTTGATAAGATCATGATTAGGCTAACAATCCTTCTAAAGTATGCTATAAGTAATTTCATTACTTTGAGATCTCATATAGGTCTCACTATTAGGCCATTTTCTGTGCGTCAAGCTTATCACTTGGTGATATACCGAAGCTCAAGTTTAGGCCTTAATTAAGCTTACAAGATTCTCTTCATCTGTTAGTGGTTCTGAGTACATGAGTAACTCATACAGATCTTTTCAAAGGGTATGGATCCAAGAAGGATTATGACTAGGCTAATCGGGAATTACCTCTTAATTTGAATAAGAAAAATAACAAGAGATTATCGTTTGTTGAGAGGAATAAGAGAAGAAAAAAGGGTTTGTGCTTCTTCAGTGATAACAAGTTCCTTCCTTTGCACAAATGTGGAGGATCAAAGTCTTGTATATAATGGAATTTCAAGATGATGATGAGGAACACAAAGAACGAATGGTGAAAATAGATGACCCTGATCCCTTAAAAAAAGATAAATGGGAGGTTTGTAAAATTTCAGTGCATGAACTCTATAGAATTCCTACTTAACACACTTTAAGAGTCGATGGGCATTGCCAGCATAGACCACTGCACATCTACATTAATCCTGGTAGTCCTCATAACTTCATGGAGGATGTTTTGCCAAGGGATTTCCAAGGAGATGTTGAAGTTGTGAGAACTCAGCCATTAATATAGTAGTTGGTCATGACAGGCATACAAATTTTGTTGTGAAAATCCTTCTCTTGGATGATAAAGTATATGGAATCCCACTTAGGTATTGTGACTTAATCTTGAGAGTAGATTTTTGGGTGATTTAAGGATGAATTTTTAGGAATTGACACTAGACATATTAGTGACATGATTAAATGTTGCAAGGAAATCTCAACAAGCTAAAGACTGTGGTTACCAAGAAGTTGGATAAAATGGTTAAGGTAGGTGTTAGAAATAATACAGGTAATACTAGCAGAAGAAGAACTGAAGATGAAATCAACAGTACTAGAGACAATATTGGCCATCACTAAAGAATCTCTTAGTTATTTATTGATTAAAAGGGGTGACCACCATCGAGGGGACCATTTTATCACAAGATACCTATGTACTTTGGAAGTGATATTGTGAACTTAAGGTTAAGGCATTATAGGTATTCGTAAACACACAAAACGATGTTATTGAGAAACTGATCACAAAAATGCTTGATCAAAGCATTGTAGAACCCAGTTCCGGTGCATATGCTTGACCAGTAATGCAAGTTGGCAAGAAATATGGGAGTTGGTGGTTGTGTGTATGAGGAAACAATTAAGGATGAATTCACGATCCCTATTATATAAATTTTCTAGAAGAACTAGGTGGATCTAACATCTAGGCTAAGATAGATTAAAAATTAGGTTATCATCAAATAAGGATGGCCACCGAGGACATTGTTAAGATAGCATTCACAATAAATGCAAGCTATTATGAGTAATTTTTATACACTTGGGATATCCAATGCTCCATCCTCCTTCGAAATTTTGATGAATCGTGTGTGTAAAGAGCACATTAGGAAGTTCATATTGGTCTTGTTTGATAATATTCTAGTGTTCAACAAAAGTTTAACCGAACACCTGGTTCATCTTAGAATGACCTTTAAATTACTGATGAAACACAAGATGTGTGTAAGGCAAGCCAAAAATATTTTTGGTGTTAGTACAGTTAAATATTTCGTACATGTTATATCTAATAAAGGGGTGGCAATTGATCCCAAGAAGATCAGTGTTGTTGGACAATGGTCATTATCTAAGAATTTGAGGGAACTTAGGGGCTTCCTAGGCTTGACAAGTTCTTAGGAGAGGTTTATCAATCATTATAGGTAATTAGCAAGCCTTTGACTAATATAATTAAGAAAGATAGCCTCAAATGTTATGAAGGGAATTTTAAGCTTTTAAAAAGCTGAAAGAAAGAAAACAATAACTTTAGCACTTGCTTTAACTTTGTCAAATAACTCTGTTGTGTTCATTATGGAAACATATGCACGTGAATATGGAACTAGAGCTATACTAATGTTGGAAGGACAACCAATAGTGATCTCAACAAAGGGCCATCTATGATGCACTAAGGATTTCTATGTATGATAAGGAAATATTTTCTTTGGTCTTAGTTGTGCTTTAATGAACACAATACTTGATGGGGAATAAGTTCATTGTGAGAGTTAATCAAAAGAACGGAAATTCATAATATGTCCGAACATACATACATGCTCTTAAATGAAAGAAATTCTTAGTTGATGCAACTACACTTTGAGATTGGGTAGAAGAGGAGAAAAGAGAACAAGGCAGTAAATTCCTTGTACACATTGCAACTAGGAGAGGTGACTACAATGATTGTTCCTAATGTGATTATAATTTTTGACAAGATCAAGAACAGTTAGGCTGAAGATCTTACTGTATAAAGAGCATTTGATCAAGATAATCTCAAGAAGGGGTAGGGTCGTCAAGGAGTTTATATTTGTGAATTAATAGCTCAGGAAAATTTCGTGTTGAGAAAAGCGATCCTCATAATTTGGCATGAGAAACTAGTTGGTGGGCACTTTGGTGTTAACAACACCTACAAGAGAGTTTTTAATAGATTCCATTGTAAAGGATAAAGAGAAGATGTGACAAAGACGGTAAGGAGTCGTGAAACTTGCCAAAGGAGCAAGTATGACAAGTTGCCCATCAAGATCTCCTCCAACCTCTGAAGATAATGGTTGTTGCATGGGCTATTGTGAGCATTGATTTCATAGACGGGTTACCTAAATCAACTGGTAAAACTACTATTTTAGTGGTGGTGGATAAAATTACTTAATATGGGCATTTCATAGCAAT